ATATATATATATATATATATATATATATATATATATATATATATATATATATATATATATATATATATATATATATATATATTCTATATCACAAATTTGTGATGACAAATATGTTGTGCTGTTTCCAAAGTTGATAAGCAAATAATTTTCTTATATGGATTTTGGGTAGCCATCAAAATATGAACGCAATCAACTCCGATTAAAAGCTGTCAAAATCTCATTGAGTTAACAAACAATGATTCCACTTTGAGATTTTGACAGCTTTTAAACTCCATCTATTTGGATTTCCCAAACAGGATTGCTGCATTCTTAGTCCAGCAATTAATCCACCTCCTCAATGAGATAGATTGCTTGGATTAGAGAGAGAGAGAGGAGTATATGCAGACATCAATGAGCAGAAAAACTTTCCATAAGATGCCATTAGCTTACACGAACGATTCACTAAACTTGAGATCTCCAACATGTCATAAACGGACATTATCTAATGCGTACTTTAAGCTGATGACAGTCTTTGGATAAGCTGCTACCGAGGAGCTCTTTCTTAAACACATGCGTGCTACATGACAGTATGATTGGAGGAGGAGACAGGCTTTGGCTCTCAAGTTGTTTCGAACGAGTTGTCCTATGTTTGGCATGTGAAGACACCACCAATCTCATATTTTGATGAGTAAGTAGTAGGGATATATAAATGTGATCAACCTTCTCACTTGTAATATTTCTTACACGATTTGCTTTGAAGTTGAAGTCTCATATATGTTGGTTTTTCTCCCCGAGAGAGGAGTGGAAGTTTGATGTCCTTAACATCATCTCCTCAGTACAAAGAATTCTGACATATTTGTTGCGAGAGGAGGATAAAGCGAAGGATGTATGTATCAGGAGGTAAAATATAAGACGGCCAATTACTGTCTGTTTAGATGGGATAATTAAGTAGATTGAGAGTGACGAGGAATTCTTACACAAGGAATCTAATAATGTGGGCAAGATCCGTGATTCCCGGTTGGATGTATCCCTATCTCAAGTTTATATCCTTCATGCACAGCTTCGTACGACGAGAGATTCGCCTCCTTTGGCTTCACGTGAACTCCAAATTAAACAACACACACAGAGAGAGAGAGAGAGAGAGAGGAGTTGTTCCATTATACAAGTGTCAGCAGTGGCCAAAACGCCGAGGACGAGCTGTGTCTGCGACTCCCACTGCAACAGTGCGCAGAGAGGCTATGAGAGTTTTGACTGCATGCATCGGGGAGAAAACCAACGGTGGCGTTATCGAAGCTGCTTATTGGTACGTACGTGACTCCATTTCCGAGCTCGTATGCGTCCATCCGTTCATGGGGTGCGGGGCTCCATGGAGTCTTCTCTCCCGAAACCTACAGCGGGTGAGAGAGGGAATAAAAATGTCTGCCCAATGGAGTCTGGAATCAGATGGTCCACCTGCTTCTTGCGTCTCATTGGCGAGGCAACACAGGCTGTGCTGCTGCTTGCTTTGTAGGATGTGAATTGTGCTGCCCCGTTGATCTCTCCGTATCATCTGAGCTGTGTTCTTGACGATGAAGTCGGTGGTTCCATCGATCCACCACAAGTATAATATGGTGGTTCGCTGCATGCATGCATGTCATCGTCGGAACGTGATCACGAGAATTGAGACTGTAGATTGCACGGCATGAATCCGATTTTTATTCCACAGCAAAATATATCTTAATTCTTGATCCTGTCTTCTACATGCAACAATCTTGCATTATGTTTTCTTGATCGGTCAACTCGAAGGTCAACGTTAGAAAAGCCAGGCCCGATGTCCAGATTGGGCCCGACCAAACGCAAGATTGAGTGCATCGACCGGTAGGAGGCAACAATACCGCAACAAAAGTTCTCGGAGACCAAAGGTCAGCTATGGCACGGTGATCAAAGCGACGCCATTAAAGGAGTACTTGAGAGCTTTTATTCCACTGCGAGACGCAGAAAGAAGGAAAGTGATCGAGCGGTGTCAACGTTGTTGGTTAAGCCTTGCCGCCGCGACCATGGAAGCGCCAACCCCACCCGGATACGTTAGCAGGTCGGGGTTGTTCCGCATCTCAGCCGCCAACACCCTCTCCGCGTCCCGCCTCGTCGCTACTTTGTCCACCGGCAGCCTTATCGCCGCGTCCTGACGCCGAGTATAGCGACGTACGTATCTACGTCAAAGACCGTCGGGTGCATGCAGTTTAAGTCTTGTGGATAGTCGTTACCTTGACAACTTGGCCGAGCCTGGTTTTGTCGTCGTTGCGATCCCTCGAGGCGTTGGCCGCGGCAGCCGCCTGCGCAGCTGCGGCGACACCGCCCGGCATGACTGCGTTCACGCCCGTGGCGGTCGCCTCGGCAGCTTGGATCGCGGCGGCGTCGCTCGCCTCGACCGTCTTGTCGCCGGCGGTCGTGGCAGTCGCCTCCAGTGCCTCCCCGATTGTTACCTTGTCCGTCCACATCGCCACGGAGCATCCACCGCCACCCTGGTCGTCACCTCCCTCTCCTCTGTAGATCACATACCGGCCCACTGCCTGTTGCCACCAAAAGTATAGACGAAGGATACGACTTCCGGACGCGATCCGCCGTTACGCATGCGTACGATTACTTTCTTCACACGTACCTGGCCGGCGACGAATTTGGTCACGAGGCGTTGGCCGGGGCTGCCGGGGATGTCGGTCTGGGTGACGGACACGTCCTGCAGTCCGGGGGCATTGCTCACGACGCCACGCTGTTTGTTCCGCGTGGCAGCCGACTCCATGCCGGAAGCGGGGCCGTCGTTGGGGGTCCGCCCCAGCACCCTGTTCTCGGCCGACGGCATCATGTCCGCGGCCCTCGGGGTGATGGCTTCGCCGGCGTGGCCTCCGGCCACCGGTAACACGTCGCCGCATCTTGTCGGCCGCTCCTGGCTCTGACCAGGCCGCCTGGGTTGGTTCTGACTCATCCTATTTGGACGTAGGAGAGGCTTAGACTTGGCGCGGGATTGGAAAGGGATTGCCATGACAAGATTATATAGACGAAGTTGGCATCCGTGGAAGGGTGTTTCGGTGTGACACGTCGCCAAGTTTGAACGTGAATGTGGGGTCGGATCGATCCGCAAATCTTGGCGGTTGATCCGGTCATCGATGGAGTCGGGAATAGCAAGCAGATGGCCGAATGTGATCCTGACTCCATCCAACCTGATTGCGTGGAAAAAGGGACGGATCCTGATGGGATCAGGTTCAGCCCGACTCAGACACCAACAACACACACTGCCCTCTCAAGATAAAGAGGCAAAAGACCAATTACATACATTAGCAATACAACCATCATGAAATAGGAAAAACGAGGTTATGATAGTTGAATTCTCATTAGATAAATTTGCAGGATACAAAAAAAAATCCAACTGTTATGGCAACTTGTACCAACTTCCTCGCCCTATCCCTCATCTACGCCTGCTTGCAGGACGCTCGTGGCCGTGAGCACGTTCCCTACCACCGCGTTCATGAGGCTCGCGCTCCCGGGAACGTTTCGATGGCCGGGGAGCCACCTCCTCCCGGTGGTCCGCCTTCGTCGCCTCCCTCCTCGACGAAGACGAAGGTCTCCGCTTGAAGTGGTACTCCTCCTCGCTCGACTCGTGATCGTACCCGCTGCCTCCCTTCCTCGTGCTCGTCGATGAGCTCTTCCCGCCCTTGGGCTCGTCGCGGTGCCCCTCTGGCCCGGTCTTGTGGCTCGTCGGTTCCTTCAGTCCGTTCCTCGGTGGGAGCTCCGACGAGGAGGGCTTCTTCTTCTTGCTGGCCCCCTCGCCGGGGTCCGGGAAGCTGATGCGGGAGAAGACGCTGGCCTTATGCTTCCGCTCAGCGTCGGACAGCGGCTCGTCGTGGTCCGCGGCCTTCCTCTGTCGGGGCCGCGGTGGCGAGTGCCGAGGCGGGTCGCGGGGCGGTCCATGGCGGTCCACGCTTGCTGTCTTCTCAGACCGGTCCCGATGGCGGTCCGACCGGTCGGACTGGGACATTGCGGTCTGCAGTCAAAGGGGGAAACACAAATTGTTATGATAAAGGACAAAGGTCAGTGCAAATTGTACCAATAACGTGGGAAAGCCATGGAAGGCCAAATAAGAGCCACCCTATGTATGACGACGCGTCAACTTCATCCCCCTAGTCCATAGGAGTTAAGAAATGGGTTAAAGTGGACCCGAAGCCACCGCCAATTTTGACTCGGAACGGTCAATCATGGTCAAATTGACAAGATCATCTTTCTCCTTGGAATCGTTGATACGGACGACACCTCCTGTCACCTGAGGATTAAACTATCGAGGTGCCGCCAAAGCATCGAGAAGATTTGGGTGGGCATGGGAAAGAGATTAAAAGGAAAGAAGGTACAAAATTGAGTTGATAAGCACGTCCAAGTGCTCTCAGGGACGACGACGATGGTTCACGGACTCTGTAACAGGAGGACAACGAATCGAACTGGCTCGGGTCCGACCATGGGTTCGAAACGGATCCAATCACATCTACTGGGAGGAGGATTAATAATTGAAGGCTATGATGGAGCTCATTTTTAGTTGGGTCTATCTTTTATATCTAATGCAGCTACTAACTACTACGCTTAGGAGGAGTTAGCAAATGAATTAACAGAAAGAGACATACAGGCTTTGGTCTCATGGAAGAAGAAGAAGCATCATTCATGCTGCTCGATTCCCTTCTTGCGTCCCTATCCTTGGACTGCTCCCTCTCCCTGCGTCCATTCGACAATGAACTTTCAGTAATCAAAAGCTAACCACTAGCAAAAAGAATCCTGCTATTTCATCTGCAGGAGCTAATTCAGCATGGTGCAAAACATCAATTAAGATTTTCCAAACTCATGGCTACATCACACGGTGCAACATATATTGCAGCATATTCATGTTCCCAAAGAAGAACTTGCTAAGTTCACAGCTATCATGTAATATATTTTGTTAAATTCGCCAAACCAGAACCTAGGAGGCCATAAAAGACTAGGATTTCTAACCATCTTAGCAAAGGGAGAAATGCCAAACAAGAAGCAACCAATTACCTTTCACGAAGTCGCTCCATCTCACGCTTGCGTCTTAGATCGGCGGCTTTCCTAGCCCCAAAGTCATCTCTGCTCATGCCTGAAGGCCCCTGATTCTGATTCATGCCCATACTACCCATGTTCAACTCCGATAAATCCCTGAAGAAGACACAAACTTTTGTCAACATATGCATTTATATGCTACTGACAAACAAGAATACAATGTCTCACAAATTTATTGATTTTATAAACAAATGAATTCAATGATAGAAGCAAACAAAAACAAAAAATAAACTATCAAATCAACAAAAGACAATGACAAGGGAAACAACAAATCACAGAAAACCATGCGTCATTCCTAGTCTGAACCTCAAAACATAATACTTGATCACAACAACTAAATCAGGATAAAACAGCTAATTGTTTCATTAGGCTGTTAACTACCTATCCAATGCATACCTTGGAACTGCTGGCATCATAAAACCTTGCGCCACAAATGGATCTTGTGGAAAAATTCCCCCACCGTAAGGAATATCAAAGGGCCCTGGCGTATAACCCATAAACGGCATTGCGCCGCCGAAAGGAGCCATGTAGCCATCAACTCCCATAGGCATTCCACCAGACCAGTGTGGATTGTAGCCAGGAGGAGGCAAAGGCATCCCATAATTTTCAGCTCCAAGATCCTGGTAGGATCTCCATTGCATATCAGCAGCTGCAATTTAGAGGGAAGCAGGAGAAGGGCAAAAGCATTTAGTAATGTTTGATTTACTTTATAGAAACTAGTAATCCGAAACTCCATTTCTTTCGGAGCTATCACTCTAAAGTGACTGCAACTTGCGGTAGATTACTAAACTGAATGAATCTTAACGCGATAAACGAACCAGTGCCAGGGAGACGTGCCTTTTTCTTCTTCTTTTTCTTTCCTGGAAAAAATGTTAATAGAAAAATGCTATAAGAAAGAAATAATAAAACAAAGAATGCATCAAAATAAGAATCTCTTCTTCTTTTTCTGTCCTGGAAAAAATGTTAATAGAAAAATGCCATAAAATAGAAATAATAAAACAAAGAATGCATCAAAATAAGAATCATTCTCCTAGACAAAGCTCAGCGCTCCTCCTGATATCTGCAAATTATATTATTACATGGAATCATGAACCAGAGACTATAACTAAAAAAATAAACTTTCACTATCATATACTCCTATATCATTTTCTTTCACATACATAGAAATAGAGTAATTTAACCTTTTACAGCTGCAAAGAATACCCACAACTTTGATGTATTCTCTCCTCACCTCAATAGGCAAGTGGCATAACGAATGTGACAACACACACGAATTTCTTACCTTGCTCTCCAGCAAGTTGCTTTTCTTGAGCATCTTCAGGCACTGGAGCACTCTCAAACGACTTTGGTCCCTTCATACTCAAAGATTCAGGCACGTCTTCAGATGCAGGAGTATTTATAATGGCTTTCTTATCCGAAGAATTCATATCATTGTTTGTAGCCTTTACTTCACTTGCAACTTCACCTTCCTTCATATGAGAAGATTGCTCCACGGTGTGCTGCATAGGTTCATCTTTGGAAGCAACAGAATAAGTAGGAGAGGGAACTTTTGGCTGTAAAGGACGAGCTGATTCCATATCTGAGAAGGCAAATCTACTCTCATCAAAAGAACAAACAAACTCAGAGTATGATTCCCAAAAAAGAATTCATTCATACCTTGGACCTGTACCAGGCTTCCAGCATTTTCGGTGCTACTAGTCGTTGATTCCAATATCCGACTGATTGTTTCTCTGAGAGTTTTATTTGGAAGAAGGTCATCCGCCAATATATTTGTAGCCCCACATATACACATCAGCTTTGTAATTATGTAGTCTCTAATGCCTGACATTGAAATAAAAAACCAGCTAAATGGCACGAGCAGTGAATGAGAAAAAGGAACTTAATGAAAATTGTTACTATATCATCTACCATAGATTTTAGCAAATTGAAAATCGAACACAATAAACTACAATATTGACTGAAAACTCTCTACCAAGAATTGTAGCACAGAAAGCAACATGCAAGGACTATGAAACTTACATTTGTCACAGAAACTCCGGAAACAACACTTGCTAGTTAACACAGCATCTTTCATCACCTCTTTACATAATGGGCAACGCAATTCTGGTGGAAGATCACTGACAGGACGAGTGGTAGGTAAACCCTCAATTTCTTTTTCAAATGCAGCCCTGCATAAAATAGCAAATATCATAAAATAATTCTACAATATATTTGTTCAACAAAAATTGCACAAATAATTTATAAGCTTACTCGTTTGGCTTCAGAACAGCAGCTGCACCACTTGGCAACGCATAGGAGCCATCAGGAGTTGCCATCAACATTGATTTAGGAATTCCAGTTGGAGGTTTCACCCTTTTGATGTCATAATTAGGGTCTCCATTCGTAGGGCAGTGCTGGATAAAGTGGCCTAAAAAAGAATGTTCACTACATCAGCTTTGAATTGTATTTAGAAATATGCAAGAGGTCACTTGTGAGACAACAGATCTGTGTTATACCAGGCACTTTGCATCTATGACAGACATAGCCTGCTGGGGGTGTCTTACGTTCAAGCATGCCTCGGCCTTCATTTTGCCAGAAAGAATAAATTTCAGGACCCAAGATAATGCAACAAAATGAAGATATAAGTTCACATGCAGTAATTACAATAAACTAAAGTGTCTTCTTTATTGCAAATGTGGTGTGTCAGAGAAGATACTCATTAAGAGTATTTCATACATCACAGACTGATCCCCAATTCAAAAGCATATGCATTCTGGAACTAGTAATCAAACCAAATGCTCTTTCAAAGTTAAAAAAGGAATGACAAGCAAAGAGTTACCAAAACCACGGCCACCCATCATCCTGCTGCCGCTTCCCCTTCCGAAACCTCTTCCAGAACCATAACCTTCTTGAGTTTGACTACAGAAGCATACCAACTCACTCAAAACACTAACTTATGGAGTACTCAATGCTTTAACCTATTGTTAAAGCAAAAAAAAAAGGATGCAGCGTATAGGCCTCACCGATTCCAGTCAAGGGCAGGCGTATCAATTAGGGCCTTAATCTTGCTATCCTCGTCGACCATGTTAGCAGGAGAAACATCTAAAACAGGATTACTCGCCTGAGCAGGATTAACTTCAGGAACGGCATACAAATCATTCCCAAACTCATCCCATTCATATTCTTCAGGCTGCAAAATTCAGTAAAAGTGTCATAATCTACCTTGTGATGCCAGAACTTAAAATGGGTCTGCCTGACATGCTCCCATCAACCATGTGAAATAAAATATTCTAATTGTAGCCGATAGGTTAAAAAGATGGAACAAAGTGTCCACATAAACTCGCCGGGCAACGACATGCAGAAGTAGTCAATCTTACATATTTGGTTGTAGATGAATCACCAACCAACATGCTGCTCGATGGTGGAAGATCTTCCACCTTATCCTCAACAACTTTTGGCCTGCAGATTAATAATAGACTTTCTATCTCAGATTCGCACACAGAAAGATGCCTGTTAGTCTTAAAGACTTCATATAAAGCATCATCCAGAGAAACTTTAAATTTCTAGTATCATTACATCATTGTCACGAGAAAATTTTTCGGATACATTGTATAATAGACGCTAAGATAACAGGCTATTAAATGTTCAAGATTCAAGGTCCAAGATAGTACTCGTCTATTCCGGTAACAATAGGCTTCCGTGGCCGCCCTGGGACCCGACGAATCAAAACCGATGTGTTTTTGGGTATCATAGCTCCTTCGTCTACATATTCTGAAAACGAAAAAGGGAGGAACAGAGGCTATAAAATTTATTCAAGAGATATTAGTTTAACCCTAATTCACCCAGTAACCCCAGAGAATTTATTAACAGATTAACCAATACCGGACACAGACCCACAGATCATGCACCCTTACTACGTAAACATCAATGTTTCTTAAATGAAGATAACATAACTTTTCCTACTTTATTAGATGCTAATATTCTGAATAAAAGGAATTCCTAGAAACCCTGATTACTACTCTAGAAAAAGAACCAACCTTCATTATTCTGTGCATTAGAGATCATGAGGTCGAAATCCGTGCCCTTTCCAAATAGCTTGATTTCAAAAATTCTTTCTTTCAAATTGGCAACAGATATGAATTGCCCCTCAATGGGAATAGAATCATAATCTTTGGCACTTTTAAACTTATAATACACAGCCATTATTCTTCACTCTTGTTTTCTCTCTGGTCCAATTTCAAGCAAGATAAACCACAAACAACAGAACTGTTGCCCTAAAAACGAGCCGCAAAGTTATAAAGGCCAAAGAGATAAAATCAGGTCTGATATTGAGCCAGAACAACAGAAATTATAAACTTGTATACAGATGATCTATCTCCTCCCTAATGACTCGGTTGAAGGCCACGCCCTGTTGCTGAATCAAGATACCAATTCCGCAAGCGGGAGCAGGAAAAGACCAAATAATAGCTTCAGGGCAACTCCTTTCTTGATCGATCGGGTGGAAGCGCAGTTGAAGCAGCAAAGACCAACGATCGGCAACAAGACGCCCTCAAGAAGTCGATATCGAGGCTCCGCGACGCGCAATTTCGACCGGCCGCTGCAGGGAGACAAGCCTCGTCGAGCGAAAGCCTCTTCGCCCAAAGGGGGTTACCGCTCACCAGAATCTCGCAACGACGGAAGGCGCCCGCCCAGAAGCCGATCGGACCAAAGCTCGACTACCGATCGGAGACAACGATAGAGGCGAGCTTACCAGTCACGGTTCGGCCCAAATCTCGAATAAAGAAAGAGGCGACCGTCCCGGACTGGAATTCTCCCAAATCGAGCGGCGAGGAAACCCTATGCCGAACAGCAGAGGGACGCGAAGAAATCGGTCGTGGTGGGTAGATCCGAAGCCGGGAATCGGTTGGAGATGTGGGAGGACGAGGGCGGCGACAGGGTTCGGGATAGATTTAGGGTTTCTTGATGGCTGATTTGGGGTTCGGCGACGGAGGAGCGAATGGAAGGGGAAGGGTGGGAAGCAACACCTTTCTTCCGCCGGAGGGGGGGGGGGGGGGGCAAAAAGGAAACCGCGTGCGAAGGATCGGACCGGAGGGAAGTATATATAGACAGAGGGCGGCGAGCACCGCCTAATCCACACACAGTGGTTGGGTCGGCTGAGGGCTAATTGGACCCATCGAGCCTCGTATTCCTATTTGGGCTTCGAGATGAGCCGAGTCGAAGATTTCATTAGGGATTGCCACTGCAGTTGGCTAAGCTAATGTAGTGAACATGCATGGTTGATGGGAGAACAATGTTTTGTGGTCAAAACCATGTCTGAGAGAGCACACGATTCAGCATCTCATAACAGATGAGAGACGGGGATGAAGAAAGCAGGAGGACGATTACAATGCACTCGCTATGTTGGGGATGTCATCTCTTCTTCCTCTCCGCGGAGAAGGCGGCTCAGAGACTGCCGCAGTCCCAGATTTGTGACCTTCTTCCACACCCTCAGTCTCAGCAGCTCCCGTGCTGCTGGGATCAATCCTGGCCCCTCCAACACGGCATTCCTCTCGTACTCCAAGACCCATGTGTTGGCATCCAGATGCAGTGCGGCTGATCTCCATTTCTCGTACCTCCATGAGCTGCTGTTGCTTGTTCTCATGGTGGATAGCAGCTTACCATCGTCTGGCCACTGATCATAGGCTCACATCAATTTAGTAGACGCCAGGGTTGAGGACGTGAAGAAAGGCCTAAGAAGATGAGACTCGGTACCTCTGTGATCCTGCCCGATAGAATGGTTATCGATCGAGGAGAAGCTCCGGATGCGAGTAGACCTGTGGTCCTCAGGGGACTTCCCCAAACGCTCACTTTCTCTGCCATCGATTTGTAGATCACACACCTCCACTGGAACAGGAAGTGGCCGCCCTGCAACTAAAATTGTCGAATGGGTAGAAGATGAGGATTTCTTGCTACGGCGTCCGGATGAGAAGAAGAGATTGGAGAGAGAAAAGATGCGAACTTGATTCATTTCCCAATAAGAATCGGTGGAGCTGCAATTTGAAACCCTCCCGCCGACCAGCTTCTCCACCTGCTGCTGCAAAAGCTCCAATCTTCCCTTCAGATCATGCCCAAGAACTCGAGATTTCTCGCCTGCTTGCGCCACCGCCTCTGGCGTCATCTTAGGGCTGAAACTTTTCAAAACCACCGCCGAGAAGCCGGAATCCGCCGCCCACAGCGAGAACAAGCCCACGAGAAACCTAATTACCGGATATCCAAGGCTCCGAGATCTCTGCTTCTTGACGGTCGCTCTCTTCTCCGCCGGCCTAGATCTCGGCGAGGGCCGAATGGGCGGGGTTGGGGGAGGGGTTACGGCGAGGGCGGGCCTTGGGAGCGGAGGAGGGCTGTCGGTGAGGAACGGCACCGGTGACGCCGCCGCCCTCGCCTTGGGCTTCGACGACAGGGAGGGGACGAGGTCGCGGGTGGCGTGGATGCTGGCGAGGCAGATGTCGCAGTGGCAATTGGTGTCCTTTCGGCACCCGGGGAAGTAGCAGCTGTCGCCGCCGCCACGGGCCTCCGAGCGGTCTCCGGAGGCGGCGGAGGCCGACCGGGTTCTCGACGACGCGGTGGTCGGGGTGAGCGCCACCACAGTCTTCATCATTCCTCTCTCCTTTTCCCCGACTCGTCGATTTCGGATGGATTTCTCCTTTTATTGGAGTTGAGAGGGGGAGGAGAAAGGGTGTCAATGTTCAAAATTTAAATTTTCTAACGGCTATATAGAATGAAGTTGAAATTATTTAGAAGATATTTTTTTTCCCAAAGATTAAAAGCTAATATTACTTCAAAATAAGTCTACATAAATCCCCCCCTAAGAAAAAATACAGCAGCGTAATTAGTGGGTGTTTTTTTAGAAAATATTTATATTTTAAATTTTTTCAATCGATATTCTTATTCTTTTTAATTTTTTAAACAGTGTTTATAATTTAAAAAATATTCAAACCACCCCTTCAAAATTTGTCTGTTTGTTATAATATTTTATCTGTCTTTTTGTATAAATCTAAAAATATGATATTATAATAATCTATAAACAATGATAATCAAAGTGACACTCATTTATAATGTTTTCAATACATCAACAAAATATCATAAACATCATTGAAAAATACTGTAGACAAGCTAAATAAAAATATTGAAGCACTTAAAAACTAGTAAAAAATAGATGAAAAAATATTTGAGAGGTGTTTTGAATATTTTTACGTTAGATATATTGTTTGAGAAAAAAATACTCAAAATATGACTATTTTCTATGGAAATCATCCGAGTGATATTGAAAATATTAAGGATAGAAAAAAAAATATTTGTTTATATATACGAATATAGAATATTATGGTATCCACTCGATGGACATATCGGTCGCTGTAGCGGACTTAGCATGACGATTTGAAGATAGCATATTATGACATCCACTCCGCAAAAACGTCGATTGCCACGACGGAACTAGCATAGCATTCCAAAGCAATGTGGTGCACCGAGCCAACTCGACACCTCGTATCTGAATGAGGCAACCGCTTGCCATCCACGTCGCCAGTACATCACACCAACATCGCTTGAGGCTATAAAGAGCGACAAAGCCTCATCCTGAGCTACTCCATATGCGCAGAGTAACACCAAATGAAGTAGGGCTGGACATATGAGACTACGCCCACATCCCAGCATATGAGCTGACCACTTATGGTGACAACGACCTTTAAACACATGTGTACGAAGACATCGATGATTATTAACAACTACGTACGTCAACACACGACAATATGTATAAAAACCACCCTATGAATAGCGCCGAGGGTTGGATCTCACACACATGCACACTCCAACTCTTCCATCTCCAACTTTTATCAAATGAGTCGAGTCAGGAATCCCTCTCTCAACTCCGACCTATGTACAAGTACCCGACGGACAACTAAAGTAGTGATCTTCAACCTTCACCCGAGAGAATAAGGCCTATGCCCTCTCAATCAAACCTCGGGTTAATACGCTCACGCTCGGAGATCGTGCTAGCGATCATGCACACTTTGAGACAGGTCAAGCCCGGACACAAAGATGCAAAACATATACAGAAACTTAAATTTTCTCTTTCCGTACAAATACACAAACTCCACGCCTCATAATACAAACGAGGAATTTCCACTAAAAAGTAAAAAATACAATCAGCTAATACAAAGACTTTTAGAATTTCTAAGAGTGAAACCGGTCCCACCAGCCCTCTGTAGAGGATCTTAGGCTTCATTCGTATTAAGCTTAATACCATTCATAATATGGAAGGCATCATTTAATAAAAATATGATGTATTTCTTCCCTGCCTTCAGAATAGTATACTTCCATATATATTTACTAAATATGATAAATGTTATTGTTTTTTTCTCCCTCAATTGTCTCTAATAAATTCTCCCTTCTCAGTCTCTCTCTAACAATGCACAGAGACTGAACTAAAGAGAAAAAAAGAATGAAGATAGTTCAAAGACTAAATATTTGTATACCTCAACAAACTAAAAAGGAGAAGAACAATCTCTCTTCACTCTACCTCATATTTATAGAGAGCTAATCCAAAACTTTTGACTTCAACTGAGCCAAGAACAACTAAGACTTTTAAATCCGATCACCAGCAAGAAGTATAACTTAGATTTGTACCGATGTCACGAAGAACCAATCGATGGAATTCCCTTCTTCCGTCACCAGCCATTAATTGTGTTCTGCTGTCAGGGCATGAAGAGCTTGCCGCCGCATTTGCATCGCCATGCCTCCGGGTAGTACTCAAGCGGAAAGCTCCGACCCGGCTGGATCGCCATGTGCACCGGTCGGCATGGGAGGCACCGGCCGCAACGAGCCCTGCAGATCGGCGGCGACGAGCCTGGGCCACCGAGCCTCCTCCGAGCCACCAAGACTTGCACCCGGTTCTCTTTTTCCCAGAGCGTAAGCCCTGTGTCTCCCGCTTCCTGGGCGATTACCACCGATGCACTTCCTGCAGATCAACACCAACAGGAAACCAAGAGGTCAGCATCGATCGAGAGAGAATGATTCTTTTTGTAGAGAGCACTAATGGCTTCTGTGTATAGAAAAGAAGCAAGAACGGTGAAGAAGGTTACGGCGTTGGTTGCTGGTAAGTGGATCGCGGGTGGAAGCAAAAAAAGATGGAATCTTGAATACGAATAAGCATGCAAGGTAGGATTTTGGGGACGAAGGAGCCATAGTTCAGCAGAGAAGCAGAAGAAGAGACGAAAAGAGATCGTGGTGGAAATAAGGAACGGAGAGCCGGGGTGGGATGTTGACTTTGGTCAGCACTCAGTAATTACTCTCACCGAGAGCTACGGCGAAGACGAAGACGACGACGGCAGCGGAGAGGCGGCGAAGCCGGTGGCGCTGAACGCCCATGGCCGAGCTCGGCTACGGCGGCTCAGCAGATCACAGAGCCTATCACACGAAGACGGAAACAGAGAGGGAGGCAGCAGCGATGGAGTTCTTTTGCTATGCAGGAAGAAGAGCTGCAGTGAGCCTTTCATACGCCCACCGATTCATTTACGCGGTCTATATCCTCCTCTTTCAACTCCATCCCACAAAAGTCGTTTGATTGGACTTGACAATGTGATGAATTCGATCATTGTGTCCCGAGTCTGACACAATAAATGAACTGATCTCAAACTCCCACGTTCCGATGTGACAAGTTTTTACCGTGGTAGATCGCTAACTATCATAAGCTTTGCACTGCGATGAACTGCTTCTCCATCGTTTCTTCGTTGTACTCTCTGAATCCATCCTACCGGGTGGTGTCGCAGGCAGAGCGCCTGCAAGAAGCCATGTTTGTGAAGGTGAAAACAGTCACTCTCATGGAGGCAACAGCAGAAGAAGACACGAGAGTGAGGTCGAATCACTCGAAAGCAGCAGTCAGCGTTGCCATTTCCTGTGATAGTATCAGAAAGAACAGATAAGTTGGACGGAGACGAAGCCATCCACCGTACCCTCTCTCGCTCTCTCTCTCTCATGGTGATTGGTGCCTGGCGTTTATACACACCCACTAGCGAAGCTGGTTCACGCCTTTTCTCGTACGATCTATCATTTACCTTCTGAAGATGGACTGCCGACGCTGTTGTTCTTTCGTCACGTCCAAGTGCGGTATGATGCCTTTCATCGTGTAATGGCTGCTGAGAGAAGCACCAGGGACGAGGCTCTTGAAAAGGAAGCGTGACCGGAGGAAAGAGGAGCGAATGCAGCAGCTTTGGGCGGTGTGGGCATGTGCACGTCGACTCTCTGTCTCCTTCCACCTCAACATAACACATGCGAGAGAGAGAGTGAGAAGGGTTAAAGAAGCCTCCCGCCGAGTCAACCGTTGACCGTGAACATACTGCATGACGTGGGAACCGAAGAGTTGCCCAGAACGTGGTCCCACCATGAGTCATCGACCATAACCGTGTCCATTCATCTTACAAAGAAAAACGTGTTATTAGTGACGAAGACCATCTGGTCCGCACAGGAAAACCATGGAATGGACACAGTTTCCGAGACAATTTATTTACCCACGCTTTTTTCTACCATCTTTGGTCTTACCCGTTCTCACTCCCGGACTTCTCATTTGGTCGGGTCCACACGAGCGACCGATCACGAGACAGGTAGATGGACGGAGGCGACACAAAGGGCAGCGAAAGAATATATTCGGAAAAATTCTCTCTATCAGCTCCACGTCACGACAGACAATGGATAAGCATTGACGTTTTGTACTACTCAATGACTAAAATACCCCTTGTAGCAGCGTCTCGGTGTTGTGTTATATGGTAATTATCGAGGGTAATGCAGTGCAATTTTGGAAATCTAAACTTTTGTTTGGTCGCCCGTCGCGACGTATAGAAGCATATAAGCTAAGAGAAAGGGGGAAAGAGAGCGCTCGAGATCTCGTTGGGTGAAGGGGTGTTTGCGTGGAATTGACGGTGAAGATGTTGGCGGTGTTCGATCGGGCGGTAGCGAAGAGCCCTGAGGGCCTGAGGGCCCCGGCGGCGGAGGGCGGTGAGGGCGGTGGCCGGCTGGTGAGCCACTTCGCGGCGGCGCGGGAGGGAGCGGTGGTCGTGAGCCTCGGCTCCGCCGGGACCATTGCCTACACGTCCGAGAAGCAGAACCCTCTGCTTCCAAGGTAAACGCAAGAAATCAACACCGAAACGTAATCTCTTAATGCTCCGTTGGATTTACTTATATTTTCCATATATGTTCCTATTTTTCTTTGGAAATATGGATGCAAGTGTGCTCTGTTGGGCCAAGTTCTTAATGCGGCCTGGTTTGATGGATGACGCCCATAGATCGGATTTTTGCAGGGATTACTTTGGGGTTTTACATACTCACTGGTAATAATTTAACCTATTGTTCTTAGATGGTAAAAGGAATGGGTACCAAGTGTAGATCACCATGGAAGAATGAATTTTGATTAGTCGTTGATGCTCGTTTTTGGGGGTTTACGCATTCTTGCAAAGTTTGGAGATGCAAACAGAGTTTCAACTAAAGGTCAAAGGACAGTTCACCGATGGAGACTAACAATCTGTTGGGAAGAAACCTGTTAATGCGGAATAATTCTTTCCCTCTTTGTGTATCAAAATAGGTTCCTCATCAAAATACCAACTTAGAGAGGGTAAACTACAGATCAACACCGTTAGGATTATAGAGTTTTTTTCTCTCTCTATTTCTCTCTGCACGCCGTCGCTGTTCACTGTGCACGTACGCTGCACCCTGCACTGCACGCTGCTCTGC